TCTTGAGATAATAGGATGTTATTTCACTATCATCCTACTAAGTTACAGTATAACAAAAAGCAAAAGCACAAACAGAAGCAGATTTGCATGTGTTACCTTCAGCAATGTTAGATCATATGAGGGTTGTATCTTGTTTTGTAGGAGTTACTGCTGAAATGCAAAACCTAGTTCAGCGTCGGATTTATCCTTTCCTGCTCATGGTGGTGGTTTTGATGGGAATCCTCTCCTTCCAAGTCCGCCAGTTCAAGCGCCTTTATGAACATATTAAGAATGACAAGTGAGTGTATAGTATGTTTTTGGTGATGGTTCTTTGTTTCATTTTTGAATTTTTCCACTTTAAATAATGATAAGTAATGACTATAACCTCAGATTGAATTCAGATGCTGTAGAGACTAAAATGGGCTAAAATGGATTTTAGGGAGCTTTTTAGACAAATGAACCCTCTGAGGCAGGCTTAAACTGTTCTTGACAAATGTCTTACCTGTGGTTCAGATAGACAAGCACAGGAACAGAAGACGTTCCTCTGTTTCTAACTTGAACTTTTTTGTAACCACAAATAATGCTGGTTGCTTGTTTGTTCCCCCTCTGTAGTCTTGAAAAACAGATGAATGTAACAACTTACTACATATTTGGAAATAAAAAATTCTATCCATCTGTTGCTTATAAAAGCATTTCTGCAACCTTTTCTGTATAACTGTTCTGACTCTTTGTACTTCTTAATTAAATTAACCTGTTAAAGTTCAGTTGAATGGCTAATTTGCCCCATCAAACTTACAGAATATACATAGGACCTTCTTTTAAAAAGTATTCTATATCCCTTCCTAAGTAGTGCTCTGTGCAGTTCTGGTGCTGTGGAGGTTATTTAGAAAAGCTAGTTGTGAGCCCCAGCAAATAGCCTTCTTACTTTTTCTTTTGTATAGAAGATGAATAAATTAGTTTTATGTTAATGTGCTGAGATAGCATAGAATAGGTTGTCTTTCCCTTGTTTACAAAATGAGCTTATTTGAAGTTTAAATGTTAGGAATGCACTGATACATCAAAAATTTGTGGTGTAAATGTAAAATTAATGAAATATTGAAATATTTAGAGTTGTAACAAACATGAACCATGAGCAGTTCCCTTTTATATTTTAGTACTTCTTCTAAAATTTTTTGTTGCCCACCTGCTTTTATAACTTGTTCTACAGTATTTGCCCTACTGTGGTAAATACAGCTTGTATATATTTTTATACACATTCTGAGATAAATATATTTTAAGCAGAATTCAATTTGTATTAATACTGTATATTGCTTTCTTGCAGCATGCAAATTTATGAAAATATCTTTAAATGTAAATTAGTTCAATATTTACTTATTGAAGTATTGTAACTACGCTAACCAGTAGAGAATTACAGTTTAGAAATATATTTGTTTCATGTAACACATTTCAAAATTATATGCAAGTTTTGTGATATTCTGAAATATCAGAAACTGACACACAAAACATGTCAGTTGTTTGGTTATGGTAAAGTGAGAAAAGGAGCAGTGACAAAAAAAAGTTTGAAAAGAAATAGGAAGTTTCAGGTGAAGAATTCATATGAGTTTACACATAGAACCAGCAGAGAAATAGGAAGCATGGAAAAGAACTTAGATGGCATAAATAGGTGTGTGAAGCAATGATATAGAGGAGGTAAGCAATTACGTGAAACGTATGAAAAAAAACACTAAGCTGATGGGTTGGTAAGATGTGGAGACAATTTAAAAAAAGGAATCATACAGCCCTTAGGCCTGACGTGATGTAACAGGCTATTTTCTCAGCCTTTAAGAAAGGTTGAGCTATTGTAAAAGCTCTTCCTTTACAGTATCTTCTTTTATTAGCAGGATTGCTTTACTTTCGATATGTGAACTGAGCCTGTCAGTACTCTTGATGCATGTTTTGCATTGAGGCAGATTCTTTACTAAACTTACAAACTCATTAGCACTCTAATTTGGTTTTGTATCAGAAATTTGTTGTTGCTGTTGCAGATATTTTGTTGATTCAGGGAAACACTGCAAAAATGTTCACAGAAATATCACTCCATGATGGAGATGGGTATATAAATAATGAAAACACACTCTTTGTATTTTGTATCTTGATTCAGGCTATTTATGTCTGAATTTATGACTGCAAGGTTAAGTCTGTAAATGTAAAACCCATAATACCTATATTCCATCATGGAATACCTGGAAGTTGAGGAAAAAAAGATAAATATGGAGTGTGTTGAAGACTCGGGATGGGGAGGATCATGTGTAGAATAACTTTTATTGAAATAAGAAAGCTAACTCTGCAACAGAGAAGATAGAATGGATTTTATGATTCAAAACAGTAGTGACTTGAGTTTTTTTTCTCACTGTTTTTGTTATAATTCCAGGTACCTTGTTGGGCAACGACTTGTGAATTATGAACGAAAATCTGGCAAACAAGGCACATCAACAACTCCACCTCAGTCTTCACAAGAATAAATGGTCATGTTAAGCATCTTGACCTTCCCTTTGCCTTTACATGTTCCTTGTTCATAGACTTTTCTTCAGTTTTTGGATATCTCAATAATACTCTCAGCAGTGTTTTGGCTTCTGCTTGTAGCATCCAGATTGCAGTTAAGGCACTGTCCCTTATCTGCGTTTTCTGGTGTTATCAATACTGTCTGAGGTCTGTATATGTGTAAATAGAAGTATCCTGACACCCTAAAACCTTGGATTAAAAAAGAATGTGCATAGTACATCTTTTAAAAAAGAAAAAGTATATTAATTTATTAAATCTAGTTGTCACTTTATTTTGGACTGTTGTTCTGTTGACAAACAATGTGCCACAAAGCAATAGTGCAAAGAGGCAAGATGTTTTTATAAAATCTGGAGTTACTTTACGGTGTTCATAACAGTTCTTATTGTAGTAATATAGTATGATTTTTCAGAGTGGAAGGGCCACACAGAGAATATGAGAAGTAAACAACTGTCTTACAGTCAGAAGTGAAGTGGCTGTGGTGAAAACATAATGAACTGTGTATCTTGCTGTCAAGTCTTTTTTTATTATTTTGTATAACACCAAAGCTGTTGTACATTTTTTCTATTGCCTGATTGTTTTTTCATGTGTCTGAGTTTGTAATATTGTACAGTTACTGTTAAATCAAGAAAATGTCATTTTCTGAGAATTCAGATGTACTTGTTGAGGCTCAGCTGGATTTTTCTGTTTGCTTTGGGGATTTCTGGGGCTTTGGGAATCAGGATTTCCAGTACTGAAGCAGTAAGTAAAAATTCACTAAAGGTAGGTGATTCTAGGTGATGCATTTAAAGGTACCAAGAAAAATAAATAGGTTTACCACTTAATCAACAGAAGTATTTTTCAAGACCCCAAGTGAAGGCTTGAACCTTCTTAATGTGTTTGCACAGAAACAAAGAGCATAGTGTAAGCAACATTCTGATCCGGTCCTTAATTAAAGAGCTTGAAATCGTTTTTTTTTCTTTCCTGTGAGTTACCTAAGTTACAAATCTCTGTATGAATTTTATTTATACAGTTACATTTAAAAAAAAAAAAAAAAGTCTGTTCTTTCAGAATTGGTCAGTGTGAATTTTTCATGTGAGTAGTCCTGACGAAGACATTCATTACATACCATAAATTGCCTGTGGAGAAGGGAAATATATGCTATTATATCTGCTATTAAACAGGCAAGAAAAAGTTTCTTTGCAAGGACAGTCAAGCAAGAGCCACTAAATCAAGTTTGTGTTGTTTCCATATGGAAATAGAGTTCTTTTGCAGCATTTTGTTAATATGTATCTTTTAAAGAAAATGCATAGTATCACAAAGCTTTAAGCACCATCAAATCAGTGCTAAAACTGCAGTGCTTTTTCTAAATTAGATGAGAGAATACAAGTATCCACTGCAGTAATCAGAAAACTGATGAAACAATTAACTTTGGGGCTTAGTACTTTGTCCTTCAGTATTCTGCACTTACCCATATATGTATCTAACTAAGACTTGAGCATTTGGCAGGTTTTTAGAGCATGTCATCTCCTTTTATGATGTTGCATCTCTGATCTATGTGTTTTGAGCTACTTTGGTCCAGACTGTGATGGTGGTAGTGCATATCTTGGTGTCTGGACTCTCATGTTTTGAGCACAAACCAGATGCATCAGTATGCATGGAACCTCACTATCAGGAGGTCAGAAACTACTACTTTGCAAAGTTACTGTTTTCCTGATAGTTTTGAACCATAAATATTAGCTTTTTGAGTGATTAATTAGGATTTTTCTAGTTAAATGAAGTTATGGAGAAATAGCCAGGATGTTTCTAATTCATTCTTGCTGACTAAAGGCTAAATTAAGTATTCACCCCAGATATTTTTGATGTGCATAAATGTTGCATTTGAATATTTACAGTGGTGCACCTTATGGGACAAGTATTTTTTTCACAAGATTGAATTCACTGGTAACTTACATTCTTATTTTGGCAAAATTTTGACCTTAACAAATCTTTTGTAAAGAGTTCCCAAAATCTCAAATATTGGCAGCACTGCTGTGTGTCATGCAGAATTTGCAGTAGTGCAGTTTGTGTAACTTTTGTGTTTTTATCAAAACTGGTCTTAACATTAAAATTTATTAAGAAAAAGCCATTGTGCTGTTTCTTATTAGTGTTAATTTTGTAAGTCAAGATGTTAACCAAAAAAAGTTGATTCAGTCATGTAATGTGAACTGTAGCTATTTTAATGTAGCTTACATTATCTGTATTTGCTCTTTGTTAATGAGAACAGGTTTCAAATGAAACTGGAGCTTGCTTTTGCCCTACTTTACAGATCACAGATGGGGTGAAGTTTCTGAAACTGTATTGTAAGAGTCCAAAATATCTCATCTCTGTCTCTTTATTTTAAGCATGTTCTAGGAAAGAAGGTTGTATATATATATATATATAAAAAAAAAAAAGAATTAAATGATTTCTTTTAATTATTGTTTAAAATTTTTATAGTTTGCCTTGCTGTGCTGTGTGTACTTTCCTGCAATAGAAACTTGAGAGTGAGCTCGTCGGTGAGCTGACTGTTGCTAGGACACATGACAAGCTGTGTTCCAGTGACTTCCATCTGTGCTAGACTAATAATACAGTGTGCAGTGGTTTTGCGTTACTTTTCAAGTGGGAGAAGCTGTGTATGACTTCATCACAATCTCTGTTGATCTTAAGTCTAGAAGGGGGAGGGATGGGAGTTGTCTGCCAGCTTAACTGCACTGGCTCTGTGGTGTTGAGTGTATACTGGTTTTAGTTCTACAGGCCTTTATCCACGAGCTGTCAGATGGCTTTGTAGCTATCTTTTGCATACTTAACTGCAGCATGGCTTTGACTTTTTTTACACAGAATATTTTTATATTGATTAAAAATAGTTAAAACTTTGCATCTTTTCTGACTACCCCTTCTCCACTGGGTAAAGCTTAAGTTGTTTACATTCTGAGGGCCCTCTGGAGCCTGTAACTATTTTGTCAGCTGCTTTCTCAGTAGGACACAAGCTCCAGCACCGATTGCAGAACTTTGCATCATTTTTCAGTAGGGTGCATTCTTCCCTTGCTCTCCCTTCCCTATGCTTGAGCAAAAGGCCTCGTAAAAGTGTTCATAGTAGCCCTGTTATTCTTCAGAGAATTCTGTAAAAAGCCCTTTCCTACAAAGCACAGATGGCAGTGGTTTGTTGATCTTGCTGCCTAGCAGGCTGATCAACATGGCTTTGTTTTCTTCTACTTCATTATTTGTCCATTTGATTGTACTTTGACTGTAAGTTTCTCATGACCAGGCCAGTGTTCTTGTTAGGTTTGCCTTGTGTATAGGTGCTGCATGGTCTGAGCAATGGCTGGGGTTCCCAGCAGAAATGATGAAATAATAAAGACATGAAAAGGGAACTGAATTTTTATAATGAAGTTTAAATAAAGAACAGAAGCTGTCTTCAAAAACAGATAAGGAGATGACATTTACAATGTGCTAAGGTAAGTTAGAGCTCTTTTCCTCTGATACCTCAGTTGGTAATTGGGTTAATGAACAGAAGAACAACAGAGTTACGAAAATGTTATTGTCTAGGATTATTCCAGTGACAAGCTATGTTTATTTTTTTAATTTCTTTGTTCAGAAGTCACCATAAATTGAGAAATGTGATGCTGAAATCAAAGTTACTTAATAATGAATACATTTAGAAGGTATTTCCAAAGGTCAAATATTACTCCAAAATAACTCTGAGAGGGGTGGAGCAGTGACATGATGATTGCACAACTATACACGCCAGTTTTGGTGCCTTACTGCTGCTTTGCTGTTGGTGCTTACTGACTGGTGGCCAGTGTCAAACAGGCATGGGCTATTATTTCCTTCCTGAAATGAAATGTAACTGAAGTTGGAGGGAATTAACTTTCCTGAGGTCATTTATGTCACTTCACCTGGCTTTCTAGGATTGGTTCCATCCTTGAAGATGATGTTACCAGGAGGAAACAACTCATTCATTACAAAAATACAATGCTACGAAACTCAGTATTTCTTTATATTCAATAGAACTTTTATGGGAACCTCAATAGCAAATATCTGCATTATTATGACGTGTTAAGCAGCCCAGTTCAGATATGAAGGTGCCGAGTTTAAAAATACTGCATGCCCCTTTCCTCATCAAAAGCTCATTAGTAACCCATGTAATCCTGAGTTCACCTACCCTCCCTCACAGCACCCTGCCTGCTTGCTGCCAGCTCTGCGGGCTCTGCACCAGCCCTTGGAGCTGAACTGTTACTGACCTGTCTCTGCTCATTTCAGTCTTTCAGAAGTGATTCTACTCTTCATTCTGAGGAGACCTCATTGCGACCTTCCAGTACTTGAAGGGAGCATATAAACAGGAGGGGGAATGGCTGTTTACAAGGTGGATAGTGATAGGACAAGGGGAAATGGTTTTAAACTGAGACAGAGAGGTTTAGGTTAGATATTAGGAGGAGGTTTTCCACACAGAGGGTGACGACACACAGGAACAGGTTGCCCAAGGAGATTATGGATGCCCCATCCCTGGAGGCACTCAAGGCCAGGCTGGGACCCTGCACATAGCAGGGGGTTGAAACTAGATGATCTTTGAGGTCTATTTCAACCTAGGCCATTCTATGAATCACTTTTACATATCCCTGAACTATGGTGAATTCTAGGCTAACACTTTTGTGTAATTACTTGGGCTGGGGGGAAGGGAAAGGAGGGAAAGGAAAAGAAACCAAACTCTTTTTTCAAAAGGACTCGGTGATTTGTTTTGTTTGTTTTCCCCAGAGGTCGCCATTTCATTCTGTTCTTAGCCACGGGGCACCCCGCGGGCTCAGGCCTGCGCGCTCCTATGTCGCTCAGCCGTGGCAGGCAGCCGCCTCGCTCGGCGAGGCTAAACGGCTTCAACACGGGCGCTGCCCCCGCGGCTCAGCGACACGGACCGCAAACCGCCGGCCCGCTCTCGGCCGGCACGGCGCGCTCGTTGCCGGGGCAGCGGCTGCGCGGGCGGAGGTGAGGCGGGGTTGAGCGGGCCTCTTCGAGCCGGGGGCGGCGAGGCGACGTGTGGGTGTCACGAGCAGCGGGATCCGGTGTTGGGGAGCTCCTCAAAGTACACAGGTTATGCTGCGGATAAGACGAACCGGAACGTAGAGCCGCGTGAGCAAAGAGTGATGCATGTGATTGCAATGTCCTCTTTTCTGGTGTTGCTTTGATGTTAGTTCTGGCTGGACGGGGCTCTGAGCACCTGATCCAGCTGTGGGTGTCCTCTTTGTTGCGGGGAGTTGGGCTAGAGTTTCCTTTCCCGAGTTCCTTCCAACTCAAATGGTTCCATACTGCTTGTTCTACAAAATTATAGCAATAGTTTTGAGGAGGAAAATCAAGACTTAGAGCTGTGGTTGGACTCCATCTCCAGGCTTTTGCTTGGTATCAAGATTAAGGTTTTAGATACTGCCCAGTGCTTGTCTGCTTTCCCTTCTGAGCTGTGTGAGTTCTCTGCTAACCCAATTAGAAAGGAGGCAGTTTGGGTATAAACACTGTTCTTATGTATGCAGGCAGTTCTTGTCATTCTACATCTGTTTTATTGTTACTTCCTTCAGGTCCAGGTAACCAAACTTGAAAAGACCATGCCTCTTCCAGACACCCTGTTTTGTGCTCAGCAGATCAAAATCCCCCCCGAGCTACCAGACATTATGAAACAGTTCACCAAAGCTGCTATTAGAACTCAGCCTCGTGATGTTTTGCAGTGGTCAGCTGCGTAAGTATGGCATCCTCATAACCATATAGCACTGTCAGCATGGAACCACAAATACCTGATGCTTTTGTTGATTGTGCAGAGGAGCATTGCATTCTTCAGTCTGTAATACAATCTGTTGGCCTTTCAAAAGTAGTGTAGAACTTGATTTAACCTTATTATATTTTTAAAGGATTTGTATCTAATTATCTTTCTACTCCATCCTTGAATTTTATTTTGGTGTGGGTAGAATTGGCACAAATGGTTATATGAGCATTGCAGTATAGCCAGTTGTGTTTTGCAGGTAGCATGTAGGAGGAATGCTAAATAAATCAGCTAATAAATTGGTAAGCTACTCACCAACCTAATGGGAAAAGACCGTGCTTTCGTTGTGCAAGCATACTCTTGATGTTAATAAATTTCTTTCTGCCTTTGCCAGGAAGGGCTGAGTATATTGTGTGCAAAATAAGTTAAACTACTTATAAATTATGAGAGTATTATAAATAGGAGTATGTAAAATCTAGAAACTGTCTTTCACTGAAAAGAAAGGTGGGATTGGGCAAGAGGAGAGAAGCAATCCTGCATGTGGAGTGCTTGCTGAATGCTTCTGCATCTACGGGAGCATGGAGATTGATTTAGGAAGCTGTAAGTGTAAGACTACTTATTTCCGTGTAGTTTTTAATCATCCTAGGTACTGGAGTGTCTTGCTGTTCCCATTCACTTAGGTACTTTACAGCGCTGTCAAAAGGTGAGCCCCTTCCAGTGAAGGAGAGGATTGAAACACCTTCAGCAGAACAGAAATTGGATGCTGGTTTGACCCCAGGACTCCTTAAAGTCTTGCACAAACAGGTACATTTAGCAAATGCACAATGCTAATGTGTTTGTCTTAGACAAAAAATATGGCAGATAATCAGTAGATGATTGTCAAAAATTTTGTATATTTTGGGAAGTATCTTTGTTCTTAGTTCCATTCTTTTTCAGTGTTCTTATTGTGGTACTATAATTTTGTTTACAGCTTTCTGCTAAAGGCACTATAAGTGTTGCAGAACTGAAGGAAAAATGGAAAGACTTGTGCTTGCCAGAGGAGCAGCTGGAAGCTATCCTGCAGTTGGACATCTTTGATGAAGAGGTGGAGTGGATGAAGATTCTGGCACTTGGGTGCAGTGTGCTTGGTCAGGTATGTTCACAGAATCATAGAACTGTTTTGAGTTAGAAGGAACCTTTGAAGTTCATTTACTCCAACTCCCTGCAATGAACAGGGGCACCTACGGCTAGATCAGGTGCGCAGAGCCTCCTCCAGCCTAACATTTAAAGCAGGAACCTTCATGGCTGGCCACTAATGGTAATGTATGAGGTAGACTGTAGAATAATTAATGCAAATTGCCTTTGAGTTGAGTTAGATGGTGTAAAGGCACTTCCCTGTCACTTTGTGAGCGTCTACAAACAATGCCTGTCAAAATGGCTTACAGGTCATTCTGGGAGGACAGCTTAAGCAGAAAGGGCAGGTAATACCCTCAGATTACTGGGATGTGGCAGTAGGACAGTAAGCTTGTCCACTGGCAACTCAGCCCAAGAGAGGTGGGGCAATAGAGGAGCAATGCTTACGACATCAATGTAAAAGACTAAAGAGAAGAGCTAGAGGGAGAAATTAAAACATCAGTTTCTAATTGTGTAGCCAATTACATTTTCACAGAAGCAGTTAATGTTACTAAATCTACATTTAATTCTTCTAATGTCAGTAATAAAATCTCAGCAGAGCGTTGTAAATGAATTATTATAAAATGCTTACACTAAGCTGATGTTCTTGTGAAGTATAAAATTAAAGACTGCAGAAGGGCGGAAGGGGTACTAAGAAGAAAATAAATGCTCAATATTGTTTTGAGAATGTTGTGTTACTGAAAAGCAGTGAATGTTGACCCAGTCTGGCCATGCAGTTGTACTCATCCACTTGAACTGATATTTTTTTATTCCAGACCCCCTCCAGAACTGGATTTTGTGATTTCTTTTCCTCCAGTTTTAGTTTACATTCCAAGTGAAGTAGGGTTGCAGCTGAGATACAAAGCTAGACAGGTAGAGCCCTAAGCTAGGATAATGTGGACGTTTCAGAACACCATTCATTTGAAGTATCTTTCTGTAAAACTGATGTGTATTTACAGTCTCACCTGTTAAGAAATGATCACACAACTGGGCTGTTAAACTGTCTTTGAAAGGCGAGAAATCCAATTGGAATAAATTTACTGCATTGTATGGGAGAATGAGTAGGTTGGAGTGGCTGCAAGTGGGTATGGCAGTGTAGTGGTAACAAAATGCTGAGACTAGAAGGCTGTGCAGAGATTTTTATTGTGTGAGCAGCTGCCACTGTTCCCAGAGAGGCCTCCTATAGGAGGAGCCAAATTAAGTGACATTTTCGGGAAGGGTTTTACTGAAGCTGCTACTATCTCAGCCATTATGGATTATAAAAACAAGACTTACCTGGCATATATATTTGCAAAGTCCTTGCTTGCATGTTGATGAAGAAGTAAAGAAACATTTTGAAGAAATTCTGACAAAAATATGACTTGGGTTAAGAAAAGCCTTTTTCTTTGTGTGTTTTTTTTTTTGTTTGTTTTCTTTTTTTTTGGGGGGGGGACTGAGGGGGGAAGTATTTTTTTAATAGCATCCAACCAGCCTTTGATTCATTCAAATTCCATGCCTTATTTTTCCACATATACCCCTGAATAGCCTGGGATGGATAGGGCACTGGATTATAGGCATTACTTGGAATGAAAGATTTTTTCAAAGCATGCTTTGAGCTAACACTTAAAGGTATGTTTTTGTTCAACAGAGAACTTGGATACTTTTTGGATTCCTTTTGTTTTTTTCCACTAACTATTAAAATGGAACTTGCATACAAAGAGGGAAAATAGTAAATATTATAATTTCTAAAATGTAATGTTAATTGTTGTGTTTTGTCATGATATACAAAAGATGTTCATGGCTCTGATACCATTCTCATTCCTTCCTTGAACCCCTTCCAGTCCTTGCTGAGTTCAATGAAACACGCCTGTGAAATTTTAACACAGGACCCAGAAGGTGGAGCAGCTCGTATTCCCTATGAAACGTTTTCATTCCTTTACTGCTATTTGGCAAGTATCGATGGAGACATACCAGATGAGAAAATCAAAGCTTTCCTCCAAAAGATTAAAGAAGACGCGTAAGTAGAAGTTCAGGCATCAATTTTAAGTTATACATCACCTCTGGGATCTCCACAGACCTCTAATTTTAGATGAGTCATCTGTCTTCACTTGAGGCGTATCCATGATAGGAGTAAAGGTTGACTCAGGTTATATCAAAAGCGTACATAGTTATTACCTATTTGCAGTGGTAAACCTTGGGGCTTTGAACTGTGAAATGATAAACTGTTATTTAGTCATCTTTGAAATGTTTTAGTCACTATCTGGTGATGTAGTTTTCCCCTTAGGAAGCAATTATATACAGCTTTGTATCATCTATGCACTACTGGTAGTGGAACTATCAGCATCTTATGGGCTGCTCTTGTGACAGGGATCATAAATCAGAGAGAAATTGGGAGTTCCCACTTGAAGTCTGTGAACTTTCTATTGTGTTTCTCCCCAGATTACCTCTCCCTGGAAATTATGTGGGGGAATATATAGCTTGTTCTTAAATAGTTCAGCTCTCCAGTTTCTGTCGTATGAGATATAGTAAACTGCCATTCTTGGAATGGTCTTGGTGTTGGTTGCCTCCAGTGGATATAAGAGACAAAGACTACTCATACTCCCACCTGAATTCATCCTGTTTTGGTTTTCATATCACCTTCCAGCAACTCAGCAAGGATAGGAAGACTGGTATCTTTCTAGTCTATTATGTTCCTCTTTTTACTTCCTCTGAGCTTAGCTTTAATTTTGTCAATAAGCCACAAACTGATGCAGTTCATCACAGCAGGAGATGTATAGATTGAAGGCTAAGCAAAAAAATCACAGTTTGACTATCCCATCAGTGACAGCTTTGCTCAAAAACTTTTATGTGCTGTTAAGTAAGTTTTGGCTTACTTTCTAATAAGTGGGCAAACCAGTTCTCACTCTTGCCTTAATAATTAAGTGCAATCTGTTAACAAATGTTGAAACTCTTTGAATGATTCATCTCTCATATCATGACAAGGTAATTATTTGCAGCACCTTATTAGCATGGTATCAAAAGTTTTATTGCTAGAGAATACAGAGCTCAATGGAACAGCTGTGATCAGTGGGACAGACAATAAAAGTCACCTTAATGGTGACCATCTCTAATACACATACACTGGTTCTATGAAGCATGTGCCACAAAACTCAGTGTGACACCTCTAACTTTGGAAAAAAAAAAAATGGAGGCAAGGATGTATCAATACACTACATCTATCCCTTCTAGAACTAGCTGGAATTGGCATTAGGGATGTATGGAAACAGCAGGCTTCTATCCACCTGTCAGTAATAAATTCCTACTTGTTTTGCCCATAGTCAGCCAGGTCACAGGAAATGCACTCCGTTTTTACCAGTTTTTAAAAGATCTGTAACAGCCTCGTCTCTGAGCACTGCAAACTTGGCATGCTTAGATTCACATACTGACTCTTCCCATCATCTGTTGGTTCTTCTATTTTAGGTTGCAACCAATTCCATGCACATGGGAATCCAAAAATGCACAAGCATAGAAATGAACTTAATTTTCTTTGTCATTAATTACCAGAATGATTTCTAATTAGAACTATTTTTAACAATAGCACTCCCAGTTAATGTAACCCTCAACTATATCATGCCTCACATACTACAGTTCATCACCTTGAAGTGTTCTAAGACATTTGGTTCCTATTCCTTTCCAGTGACCAGCAAAGTGGCATGGTACTGCTCAGAAATTTTCAGAGCCAGCCCTCAACAGAGTTTTGATCAAGTTGACTCTTCAACACCAGATGAGGGTGGAAAAAATGAAGTAAATACAATACACAAAGAACCTCTTCTCCAGCACTCCTTTTTCTTTATTTCATTCTGAATTCAGAATTGTCTTTTATCGGAGTGAATTGAACATGTTGTCATATTGTTTTTTCACCTCTGAAATAGTGATGCTCATGGGTTGGGAGTGGTACTTTCACTGATTTGTTTATAATGAATCAAATGTATTTCATGAATCTTTTTACCTAGACTTTATGAATAGAAAATTAAATTTTGAGAAGACCGGTCCATTTCTTAAGTAATGATTTTCTTTTTATCTGTTTTTAACTCTCACAAAAGCATAGCTTGTCTTTTGACTACCCTGTCTGCATAAACAAACTCCAGCAAACATATGGTTTCACCAAGCACTTCTCAAAGACCATGAAGAACCCTGTAGCCAAGATGGTGAAAAAAATATCAACTAGACTAATGACAGTAGTTCCATCTAGTTTAATCTCTAATTTGGACTCATCATCATAGAATGGCCTGGGTTGAAATAGACCTCAAAGATCATCTAGTTTCAACCCCCCTGCTATGTGCAGGGTCACCAACCAGCAGACCAGGCTGCCCAGAGCCACATCCAGCCTGGCCTTGAATGCATCCAGGGATGGGGCATTCACAACGTCCTTGGGCAACCTGTTCTAGTGTGTCACCACCCTCTGTGTGAAAAACTTCCTCCTAATATCTAACCTAAACCTCCCTTGTTTCAGTTTAAAACCATTTCCCCTTGTCCTATCACTATCCACTCTTGTAAACAGCCATTCCTCCTCATATTTATACGTTCTCTTCAAGTACTGGAAGGCCACAATGAGGTCTCCCTGGAGCCTTTTTTTCCTCCAACTGTCTTCAGAATTTAAATATTTTTCTCATTTCTAGATGGACTCTTAATTAATAAAGATCAGTCTCCTTCCTGCCTGCAGCCCACAGGCACTGTGCAGAGGATATCACCCCACACAGCCATTGAGGAGGCCAAAATGCCAGTGCTAAGGGGTGTCCTCTGCTGGCAACTTGATTGAAAATAAGGAAGGGTAGAAAAAGTTAATCTGTAAGATGTTGCTGTTGGCTTTTTTCATAGAAGGAACAAGCTGACTGTAGTAGATTGTGTAAGAAATTAACAAAACTAGAAATTGGTATAATCCCACAGCAGTTAAGGGTATAAAGGAGAATTCCACTTAAGCTGTACCTGGACGGTTGAAGTCTTAGTGTTTTTATAACTTTTGTCATTAATACTTTCATGTTAGTATACAGGATGGAAACTTACTAGTTTCTTTGCATAAATACCAAGATCTATCAACCTCATGTTTGAAAATGCCGGTCAATAAAATTATAGAAAGTAGGGGGGAGCTAGGAGGGACATCTCTACCTTAGTAGAGGTCTTAGAGATGCCTGTCACCACTGTCGCCAGCTTGACATTGATCCTAAATTTCCTTGAGCACAAGCTTGGGAACAGCAACATGCCTGTTACCATCCTTTTACCACTTTTTCATTTACTGAAAGCTGCAGATGAAGGTAGCAGCCTTCTGGAGAACTCTGAAATCTGCCCTGTCATCTTCCATGCATGCCATAATGTGACAGTAAGTGCTGTCTTTTTGGAACGCTGTTCTCAGAGGTGACAGTGTCAGGTGGTAGAGAGAAGGGGAGCTACCGGAGCTCCCTTCATCCCTTTCCATTTGTAATTGATCCTGCTGCTCCAGGGCTTAACCACGTTCACCTTTAGATACTATCTGTGGGCTGGGACAGTAAATTAGCACAGCCTCTCTCAGATTCCATTAGCCTTTGTTAAATTAAACTCAAAGGGCTAAGAAATCACTATAATTTATTAATAGATACATTAGTCTTATACATTTGTACATTTTATGACGTATACTGCTTCCATCCTGCCATCCCCTGAACATTATCTGATTTTCTCTCTGAACACAGCTGTGAGGCAACACCAGCATTATGTTCACAGCATTACAGTTTCTGGCGTAACAGCAGTAACAATACATCCTGTGCAAGTAATTCTTTGAACAGAAACTCATTATGTTCTTGTTTCTACTTTCTTCTTTTATGGCTGTGATACTTGTCTTCTTCCCTGAAACAAGAAAGCAAACACCATGTATGTTGTTAATGTAATCTGAAGGAATAAAAGTACCTGAAAAAAGAAAGCTCTCATTAAATGTAATCATATCCTTTACTAAGGAAAGAAAGTACGTCTCATATTGGTGAAATAAACAATGCAACTGATTACAGCCCAGCGCAAACTATCCCCATGGGATATGTCAAGATAGCAGCCTCAGACAGTGTTGTATTAATCCTGTAACATTGTTGGAAGCATTGACCTTTCAGCTGTGGAAAGTTCTGAACTCTAGAGCACAGCAACTTTTGTTTAGGCACTGACCTGTTGTACTGCACGTGAGATTATCCTAGATTTTAGATGAGACTTCTATTCCCTGTAATAAGTTCTTCTGAAACTGGCCTGATTCAGAAGCAAGGATGCAGCTGATGCTATTTCATCTCACCTTTCTCTTTTCCTCCGAGAATCTCTGTCCTTCCCTCTGTCACGACTCCTTTTTCTTTTACTTGGACTCCTGCTGCCCTCTCGCCTATGTCTGGTGCGTTCAGTGTCCTTTGAGCTTCCTCCAGACTGCCTTGAGTCCACCGAAGCTGACCGCCTGTCTTCCTTTCTGGAGAACAAAAAATAAAAACGTTACTGATTTTGTTCATTAAGCACAGTTTCACAGTCACTAGTTTTTCAGTATCAGTTCTGTAACAAAATGACCTACTAACAGTGTAAGAAAGACGACATCCTATTAAGCCACTTCCTCTTAAAAAAGAAGACCAAACAACAACAACAAAAATTTCACAGGCCCTCAGGCTGCTGATGTCCACACAGAAATAGCGAATCCCTCATGAATGTTTAAATGTCAACTGTGATGTACCTTCCTGAAGATTTTGACTTTCCCCCTTCACACATCTCTGCATTATCCAACCTATTCTCTTCCTGCCAGTGGTTGCTGAGTTCCTCCATATGTACACCAATCACATCCCGAATCACCTCAAGAGTAAAGAAAGATGTTAAAAAACAAAAAACAACAAAGCAGTGTGTCACAATATACTTCTTAAAGAAAAGCATTTCAGCATAAATGTAATAGTACAATTTTACAACAAAGTGTATCTTGCTGCCATTTTCACATGCAAAATTCACTACTGCCAGAAATACTACTGTTACTTGTAATTTCCTGCAGCAAACTCAACCAAAGAAATTCTCTTATTAGCAAGTCTGCATCTCTTACCAGGAAGGGCACAATAAGCAGAAGAGATTTTTCCTTGTCTGAACAGGTATACCCCATTGTTTATGCTGATATGAACTAAGCATACAATAAACTCGCAGCTTTCTCTTGAGCTGCTTACCTCAGTGTAAGACTTCTTTGTTATATGAACGTTCTTAGCCCTGTAGGACTGCCGTCGCCTTTTGTAGTCTCGCATTTCAGCCAGAATTTCAAGATGGGACTTTGGACCCTTCTGACTGTCATCTAACAAAGAATTTGAAGTAAAACAAATGGGTATTAGCACTTGCAGGTATATAAGTCTGCTGCTTTATTACTGAAGTGTCTGAAAAAAAAAAAAAAATACATTGTATTGTTCCTCAAGGTTCTCCAATGTTGAATAGCTATTATGAATTTAACACAAGCTTCCTCTCCAGCCTCCTTGCTGTCTATACAAGACTATAAAGACAACATTCAAACATTATTATGTGATCTTAATCTCCCAACAGTAGTCCAAATCAATGTACAGGCTTGCAGTTTGGTCAGACCTCTTCAAAACACAGGCTGCATCTTCAAAGCCACTATAAGTGTAAGACAAAGGAGTTGAGACAGCCTAGTTCTGAGGAATATGTACCCATGTAGATGACAAACAACATCTCTCCTACACACAGGGTGCACAGAATAACAAAGTGAAGTTTTGCTTGGAGACACCGGCATGTCTCAATAGCAATAGGAGGCTTTGTCTCTTGTATCCATTCCTATATTGCTCAAGATTTCAACCCAGCAACCACCAACCTCTCCCCAGGCTTTTAATTTTAAATGATCTTCAATCACATCATTTCTTGTAGTATATGCTGTTCCAGACTTTGCAGCAACTTGTCAGCATTAAGTAACCTGAAGTCAGTTGCAAATGACAGCAGATCAATCCATTAAGATAAACATAATACCTATGCCAACAAAAGAGCACCATGGCTTTCTCAGAACTGTCAGCACAAAGAATACCACTCTGCTGTTTCCTGGTGCCAGAATGTCATACAATTCTAAAAAACTGCAATGTTTTCCCACAATAAAAAACAATAACAAACAACAGTTCAGGCTGGCTTTCACCAAAAACTCATCTACTGATGCAAAGTTAAAGCTCTGAGCAATAAACTCAACAGTAAATTATTTTTCAAACCTTGAGTAATCTTGGCTGCTAAGTCTACAAAGAGGTCACTGTCATTTTCTGTGATTTGTGACCTAGATCTCTGTTTCTTTGTTTCCTCAACAACATAGTCATAAAGAGCAAGACGGTCAGCTTGAGTCAGGTCACAGATGAAACGTTTGTGATTTTGAGGAACTTCTACAGGCAGTGATGAATAAGATCCTGGAATTTGAACAGCACTGTTATTAGTAAAATGGCATAATTACACAGGAAAACACTAAAAAGCTCAGCAATGCAGTAAACGCCTGTGATGCGTTCACCCTTCTCTTACACATGTAGGGAGTTAAGTCCTTAAGTTGAAAGGATAATACAAGAATTTTATTTTTAGAATATATTATTCCTACAGGGTCACAGAAATGCAGAAACATGCCCTAATAGTTACATGCTTGTGATTTTACAATGATCTCACAGCTTATGATCAAGACCAGCCTTTCAGCCCTATTATACAAGCTGTAGCTACATTTTTTCCCCTCTGTCTCTACTGCCAAAGACTTAAACAAGTAATTTCAAGTTAGCACATCTTAGAAGAGGCCAAGGCACCATAATAAAAACTACTCCATACGGTTTTAATGTTATCTTCATAGAAATGCAAAATTGCAGTGAAAACTGGATGGTAAACACTGGCATCTGGTGGCTCACTGACATATCTATGTGATACACCTCTTATAGGCTTAACTGATTTTTCTCTACGTGGCTATAATTGTATCAACTTAGTGAATTATCACTTGTTTCAGGGCAAAATGCACCTGACATGCTAAGAAAGCCCAGTGCCAATCACACAAAGGCTTTGCTTTGTGAAAGAAGCAAGAACATGAAAATCCATGCCTGAACAAGTGCTGCTGTATCTGAATGTCAGGTCAGGAAAGTACAACAAAGTTCCTGTAGGTGGCCCTACTTTTCTACTCTATCTCAACTCTCCAAGAGAAGTGCAAATTGGTCTTAACCTACTCTATAGTCACAAGACCTGCTATAAAACGAGACAAAGAAATGTGGTGAGACCAGTGGTAAAGAACTTTATAGTATTTGCAGATGTTTGAACATATTTATTATGTAACTACTTTAAAGAGTCTAGAAACAATTCAACATAACACCAATGCATGCACTATTCAGCTTTTGATCTAAGAAGTGATGGATGAGCATGCACAGCTCATAACTGACAATCCTTAAACTGAATTCAAAGCACAGTTCTCTTTTTTCCCTTCTTCCTCACTCATCCCATGAAGAAAAGGGTGGGATGCAGCTTGAGAAGAGTTTGGGCCCTAAAAGGCAGAAGACAGTATCAGAAAATGCAGGCGGACAGTAAGCTGTACGGAGTGGGATGGGAAGTGACAATTGGTGCTTCAGGGAACTCCCAAGTTCTGCACTACTGATACTATCTCAAGTTCTTTACCTGGCTGCCCTTCATAAAGAAAGCATTTTACTCCTAAATATAGAAGGGAAGGAATTTTAAAATCAAATAAATAAATTAAAATTTCTCACAGCAGTTCAAAAGGGGGAATCAAGCAGCTCTCCACAGAACAGCTGAAAAGCTGTTTCCTCACCTGCATGCCACTTACCTTCAGTGTAGCCTATGCCTTCTTTGGCACTCTGAGCTCTAGCTTGCTGAACTATGTGAAACTGTAGAGCTTTATCTGCAGACAGAGAAGAGAAAGTCTCACACAGAACTTTTAAAACAAGTACTTAGTAGCCTTGGTCTTTATTTCCCAACCTCTATTATGAGACTTAAGATATTTCATAGAATACTATAGTTTTATTTGTGTGTAAGAGACAGTTGAAAAATATTCTTATCCCATATTTGAATCGAGGGGAGGGAAAAAAAAAAAAAAAAGAAAAGGAAGGATTTGGGGGTTAGAAGGATAAGGAAAGATATGTATGTATACTGAAATCCTCACCAATGCCATTAACAGTGTTGTTACTGTACCTCCAAACTCAAGGGAGGGTTTTTAATGACGACGATGACTGATGGCAGGGCAGCATGGCATGTATGGCAAGGACTCAGGTTCTGCCACGCAAGGGGTGCTCCAAACAGGACCATGGTTGCACTTCGCAGGGGCAAGGGTGGTGTTAACAGGCTGCCCGGAGGCTTGGAGGCGTCTGGAGATGGGCACGGGCTCTGGGTGAACCCGCAGCTCCCTCAGCCACGCTGCGATTCCACCTCCATGCAGCCCCCCTGCCGCCCACCCGTGTGCTTACCCATTGCAACGGTGGGCACCTTCAGGTTCTCATAGAAGAAGCAGGAGTCATACATCTCGGCCTGTGGGACGCGGCAGTCCAGTCATAAAACCTTTTAAGTTGTAGCCTCCCCCTCTCCCCGACGCCCAGCCCGGCGTCCCTCCCAGCCCACCTGCTCCTCGGCGGAGTAGCCCATCTTGCGGAGGCGGCAGGACGCCGCATGCCTCTCCAACGACGCCCGCGGCACACGGTGATGGGCGTCGTAGGGGCAGGGCACCCGCTCCACCTGCGGCGGGACACGCGTCAGCGAGCACCGCGACCCCCGGGCCGCCCGCCGACCCTCGCCGGGCAGCAGAGAGGCTGGGGATCGGCGGGCGGCGCCGTTACCTGATCCTCCAGCCACACCGCGCAGGAAGCCGCCATCGTTACTGAGGGCGGGACAGCCGCCGGCACCGCGGAAGCGGAAGAAGGAGCCGCCGCCATCTTTACTCCGGGCGCGCCCGAAGGGGGTGCGGCGCCATCTTGTGGGGCGCCTTCGGGCCGGCTCTGAGGGGGGCGGACGGGCGGGCAGTGCTGCAGCTGCCTGCCCTAAAGACGCTCTGGAGAACGTGTCTGCTTCTGAAAGGCATCAAACAGCTCTGGAAAGGACGCTTATGGGAAGAGCTGCTGCACTTCGGTGCCCTTCCCTGGGTTAGGAGTTTAATAAGAGTACCCACGGGTAGAAATCTGCCCCGCAGGTCTGATCCTTTCCCAGACATCGGCAGTGGGCTGAGGTGGTGTAGAGCCAGGATTGCCTTCGTTCCCAGCACCATTCCTAAGCAAGCACAGCCACAAGGATAGACGCCTTCCCTCAGACAGCGAGGCTGCAGCAGGGTTCAGCACGGGTCAAGGAGAAAACAACTATCCTAAAGAAAATTTAACGTGACTGGTGTTTGTGCGTGCCTGTTTTTGCTCGTGAGGAATGGAACGAGTCGGTCTAACAAGGAGGGGCGGGGTGGTGGAAGCACGGCAGATGTAGCTGCCAGAATGGCCCCCGTACATCTGCTTTCATTAGCAGATTACAGCCATTTCTCTCCTGCGCAGAGAATTTGAGACTCAGCTGGGATTTTAGCCCTCTGAGAGATTTGCTGGCTCTCGCCGTGTTTGCCTGAGGATCTCAGACTTCACATGATAAAGAATACTGAGAGCTGAAGGCTCCCCATCTGCCCTTGCAATTTCATTTGTGCTGTAGTGGAGTATGCTGGCTCCCATTAGCACGTTTTATCAGAGGAGTGATGAGAACAGCTGGGCAAAGCTGTTCAGGCCATCTCCGCTGGAAAACACCATTTCTACAAAAGTTCAACAGAATATTGAAGTATTTTTTATGGTAGCTTGATAGAATCAAGCAACTCTTTTTTATTATTATTTTAACCTATCAAGTTGATATTGAAAAATCAGAATATTTGTTTTGCTCTACTAAATTAGGACATTTTGAATTATTCAAAATATTTCTTTGTTTTCCTAAAAGTACTCGTTCCTGAGATCATCTTTGTGGTATTCCCTTGTTTATTTATTTATTTGTTCAGTTTCTGGCCCTTATGGATTTAGGAAAATCCCTGAGATAGAAACTGCTGGGGTGGTTCTTCTTTCCAGAGTTCAGGGACAGAAAGTTGAGTCAAGCTTCATTTCCTGAGCTACAGTAAATCCAGTTATGTGGTGCACAGACACAGTGGGGCTTGGAACAACACAGGACTAACGTTAAGCCCCTGAAATAGGTTTACAAAACAATCAAGGACAACAGGTGAACCAGGTCTTTGTAACAGTGCAGCGGGGTGCTCTGAAGCAGCTCCTGTACCCAGCAAGTCAAGTGTACAGCTCAACAGGGATCCTTGTGCTGCCCACCCCTCCGCCAGCTGAAGTGACAGCAATGCTTTGTGAGAGGAGGGAACCAGGGGGGATAATCTTAGGCTCAGTGATACCTTGGGAAGTGCCTTCCAGGGATGCCCTCCGGGCAGCTGTGAAAGCTTCTAAGGCTGTTGCTGTTTTTGTTGAGTTTGTTGAGAGGTAAGGTCCTTGTCGAGGAAAGGTGAGCCACTTTCCTGCTATGTGTTGTGGCGACAGACTTTCCAGGAGCAAACTGACTGGCCAAAGCAGAGGCTATCATCTTGCAAAAATTCACAGTACCTTTTTCCCACATTTATATGGGCTTCCTATCAAATAAGGGGTAAGATCACCTATCTGGTTGTGTCGTTTCTCCTGGCTGATTCCAGGCAGTGGCATCTATGTTCTCCTCAATGCTAGCACCATGCAGACTGCAGGCCAATGGCTTTGTGACTCTATCTGAACGGCATGGTTCATAAAGCACCATCGAGCTTAACACATTTCAACCCTCATGGTCCTTTCTGAGGAGGAGAGAGGAAATAACAGCTGCATTTCCCAGTGTGAAACAGCCTCCCAGAAGGGGGAGGGGCATGAATACAGTCTGCCCCCCTTGCAGCGCAAAGTGCTGAGTGTGCTGGTAATCTGGTGCTTCTCTAGGAGCTTTTTCTGGGCAATATGGATCTCCTGAGGAAGTCTCTGTGGGAACCAGCCCCAAAAATCCTCACAGCACAGCAGAACAATCTGAAACTGGGGAATAAGCAGAAGGCAAAAGAATGAAATAATGCATACATTATGTCAACATAAAGACCATATAGCACTCCTGGGGAATTCCATCATGTGTCCTCCAGAATGAATCTGTACTGCAGAAAACCCAGCTGATCGCACATTGCATGTCCTCCATACCCTGAGGTAGGAATCTCAGTGCAGGGTCAGAAGTGAACCACTCTGCCTCCCCTAAAGCAACAAGCTGAAATCATGGTGAAATCTCACTGTTCTAACAGGCCAAAACTCTCTGGTGGGTACACTCATTCTGAGATAAAACTCTTCCTACAACAGATCATGTAGGAAGGAACATTCTTCACCCATGGCTTGCATTTCTGTTTCTTCACTGGTAACAAAATCTTGCAGGCTTTCTGTATTTAGAAGCATAATGACTGCTTGAAGAAAATCTTTTTTTTCTAACATGGAAGAGAAGACAGTTTTCATATTTAGTATTTCTTCTTTTCCCCAGATACAAAGCATTACCTGGAGATGCATGGTATCAGTAATTCCTCCTGGAAATGAGGGGGGGGTGGGAGGGGGAACTTACTATGTAACTTCATATTGTTCCTTTGCTTTAACATGCTTCAGATAAAGAGAAATTAAATAATCATTTTAACAGCTTTCTTGGGCCATTCTATGGTGGACATGCATATTTCTGGACCAAAAAAGGGACAGAGAAAAGGGAAAAGCAAGTTAAAAGATGAAAAGAAACTTTCTGGGGCTATCCAATGGCAGGAATTTCTGCTGGGCCTCATCCCAAGATACCTGGCAAGCTGGAAGCTAGCACAGGTTGAGGAGCAAGCAGCCTCTGCCTGGCAGACACCAACCTGTCATGAAGCCAAGGATGGCTCCAGAGGGGCATACACAGTACAAAACCCACCTCATCACAAGACTTCCTTCTTCTTAGCATCCAATGCACTCACCTACTGCACCGTGGAAATGGGAGACTGGATTGAGCAGCAGAAGCTCCCAGCACCTCAATGGTACAATTGACTGTACCCACCTCAGGGCAGCTCTGCTAGCTTGCCTACACAGTGATACTGTCTCTTCTGCCTTGACCCTAGAGCCCATGTGTCAAACTCATCTTCTCCAGAGAAGAAGGTGTACTCAGGTTGATAGCACGGGCTTCACTCAGCAAAAGCTACTGAACCGAACAGATTTTGTAAAGATAAAGCACACAGGGACTTGAAATTCCATTTTTTGTTACTGTTTCTATTACTCCCTGCTATCCTAAACTTCAGCTAAGATGCCACACTCAAGATCTGTAGGACAGGCTCAATTGAATCAGCCTTGTTATCTACAGGAACATGAGGTGAATTTCTGCAGGGCATGTGAATCAAATAATAGAAATATTCTTCATGGCATAGGCAGATATTTCAATATTCCTCCGGTCAGGGCCTTTATCAGAGTTTAACTTCTGTCATTTGCTATGTGAGTTCCAGTTTTGTTGCCCCTCCAGGTCATCCCAATCCCTGGTGTGGGGCAGTATAGGTGCTAACGGGAACCAAAGAAGTCAGAGATTGCTCTCAGGCCTCATTCGTTCCTCTGCCAAGGAAATGCTGGTGGCTTATTCATTCAGCTGTGTATTGGTCAGAGCCTGTTACAGGTCCCTGACTTACCATTTTTTTAGTTTAGTCTGGTTGACGATTAAAGCCTAAGGTATATTTGATAAACTGCACTACACTGAACACTTCTAAATAGATTTACAGGTGGCAACTCTAGCATCTGTTAATGCCTTATCGATTCCTCCTTCTGTACCACCTTGTGATCTCTTGCGGAGGCATCAGATTTAGGTTAGTGTATCAGATTGTTATGATCCTGATCTTTAAAGATAACTTGAAAACTTGGTGTTGGCCCCCTATGTCAGACAGAAAGCTCCTGTTATAAGCCTGGAAATTCATCGTTACACAGTTGGAAGCAAATCCAATGTCCTCTTGTGTGCTGAACTTTTAATATCTGTGGTTTTGAGCTCACATGGATTTTACCATTTAAGCCCTTGCACCTTGGCAGTTGCTGCACTGCAATCTGTGATCCTTTGCCTGCTCCTGCTGTCCTCCCTTTGCGATGAGCTCTGTGGCAGGCAATGCCTGCTGGCTGCTCAGTGCTGAGATTGCTCACCTGCCTTCTCCTCATGATCTCCTCATGGCCTGGCCAGCAGAGCCTGGCATCTGCCTTAGTACATGCCTTTCTTTACTGCCCATGGCAATTAAGCATATTGCCCTGAGCACTTTTGGTGTGAAGGCCCTTGTGGCATGGAGCTACTTGTCCTCTGTGCTGGGCAGGGTGGGAAAGACCATGCAACAGATCCAGCTATGTCTGCTCCCATGGAAATGGGGAGCGAGCAATTTGCTCAACCACTTGCTAGGTCTGTGTCAGTGCTCCTGGGGAAGCCTTCCAGCTAAGAGCTGGAGGGGAAGCTCTGCGACAATGTTCTTCCTGTAGACATCTCCCCACAAGTGAGTGTGAGCTGAGGTCCTGCACTGCCTCTTAGCAGCAGTCCAGATGGGCAGGGAACAGCAGAAGTACCAGTAATACGCAGCCACCTCTGAAAATGTGTGCCTTACTGCCATCCTGCTTCATTTTCGACAGTAAGAGCAGCAAAGGCTAATGGATAACGTATTTGTTAATTTGTTATTTTGCAGAAAGGTGTTACCCAAATGAAGAGTGCAGTCCATTTCCCTCCCTCAGTGCATGTATCTAAGCCTACAGCAACAGATAGCTGCTGTTCTGTGCGTTGCTGTCGCAGCTTTACGCCAGCCCTTTGTGCCTGGGTCACTGCATGCTGTGCAGTAACACTGCCCTCCCTTTGCACCACCCATGACCTGCACAGCACCTTGTGCCGTGGGCTAAGCCAGCTGGAGCCCACAGCCAGCTGGAGCCCTGCCACCCTCCTGCAAGCTGTGCGGGGCCAGCAGGCAGCGGCTGGGCACCTGCAGGTAGAGCCACAAGCTTCTGCCGCAGCTGCTGGCTTGTGCAGCTTTAAGGGTCGCCTTGAAAATGTGGCCTCTCTTGTTCAGCGCTGTTGGTACAGTGAACAATGATAGCTGTCCCTAGGTGTTGCTATTTCTTTTCATAAGGGTGTGCAGAACAAGCAATATTATTTGAAGCTGAAGCAATATTTCCAAGGAAGTGCTCAGGAAGGAGAAACTTACTCATCCACAGCAGTTCCTTGGGAATAGGAGCCAGCAGGCACAACGGCAGGGCAGTTTTATAATGAGCTTTGTATTTGGGGTGTGGATTTGCAAGCGCTGCCTACCAGTCCCCTTCTCCTTGCAGGAGGATTAACTTGATGGATTACAAATGCCCTCTGAAGAGGCTGGCATACACTCAGATAGTCGCACCATGACAGGCTTCCTGAGCACGTGAGGGCTGAAGAAGGAAACAGCAAGCACAGGAAAGGAGCTGAGAGCCTTCCAAATAATCACCAGTAAGGCTTTGGCTCTTGCAGAGGCTCACAATTCAAGATCACTGTATGCACTGAGTTCATCCGTGGCGACATTTCATTAAGCTCAGCAGAAAGCTGCACTGGAGGTCACTGGTGGCATCATGTTTGAAAGAGCGACTTCTCAGCCGAGACAAAAAGCACAATGGCTTGCCTATGGTCCAACACAATCCTTGAGCATTGCCTGGACTGCAGCATCAGGCTCCATGTCCTAGCCAGTTTCTCCTGCCTCTGTTACTGCTTTGTACGCTCTCCTGTTTCTTCCC